TTAGTAACAAAAGGAGAAATCATTGTAATTTTTTTATGCTTTTCTGCTCGTCTGTTTCTCAACATTACATAAAGATGTGCCACATTTTGGCCTCTAAATACAATATTTACGATACTATAGACTTACTATTTTTTTATTAATTCTTTAAGTACTAATTTTCACTTGAATATCAGGATTTGGTTTCAGTTTATTGGAAAAGTGAGTGATTCAAAGGGGAAAAAAGAAAAGAGAATAAACAGACAGATTGAAATTTGATATTATCTTTAAAATGATTGTGACTGACGTATGGCTATGTTGGTGAATTAGCCGGCTATCTACTTGCTGCTGAGCTATAAGGGTGGCTGCGGTGTGTGTTAGGTGGGAAAAGCTGATGAAGCAAACAAGGAAACTCATTCTACTTCTCCTTTCAATTCGGCCTGAGAGGTATAATTTATAAACTTCAAGGTCAGACCAGAAATTTGTGGGAATTAGTGAGCACTAAGCAGCCTAACTGATCGCTGCTGTTTGATACATGTTGGATTAAAAAACAAGGAAGTGAGCCTAGACAAGAGACTAAATAAGCAGTATATTCAAACAAATAAAAAACAGCAATTTGATATATTAGACACCTTTTTCTGGTCTTGATTGAATGTGCAGCTCAGTGGAATTGAAACATCTTTTCTTTGCCTCTTGTCAAATTACCTTCTCTCCTCCAGACACTCTGGACTCTGGAGTGCAGATTGACTGGCTGGTAGAGTAGGTGGCTTGGAGAGATAATATCTCTGAAGAGCGTGAGCTAAACATATCATGCCTGCTTTCCATATGCAGCACAGTCTATTATGCAGTGTCAAGCAAAAAGTCAGACTACAGTAAAATAAATTGTTATGGTTTCGGATAAAGCCGTTTAATCTGCTTTTACACAGCCTTACTCTCTGATTCTGCAGTATGAATGTTGCTGTCACACGCAAGCAGTATGCCACCCTACAGAATATGGTGTTATTTTCCTGGAGTACACCTTCTTCAGTTGTCTCTCCCTCAAGAGGCCATCTCTTTGATGTGATGTAATATATCGAGGCAGTGGAGGATAAACAACAAATTGAACACAACAATGACTGATATTTTTGATGTACTGTATTCCACTAGTCATTTTTCTCCCTCGCTAAATCCTAATCCCACAGAAATTGTGTCGGGATTATACACAAAAGGCGCATTTTGGACATGGATTTGCATGGATGGATTAGTAAAGCCTTGTAATGGAGGCTCATGTTTGCAGAGAAACCATCTTGTTGTTGTTGCACACTAAAATGATGTGGCGCTCCACTCAGTGTTAACACACATTACTCATTTCCCACCCGGGGAACACAGATAATTTCTCATTGCCATAAAAGTTAGGAATTTGTATATATCAGCAAGAAACAGATGCCAAAGTTGGAAAACATTGCGCCTTGCAAGGATGACTTTGCATGTCAACAAGCCACTCAGAACAACAGACACCCAGTGCTGCATGATCACTTACAGCTCAGGGCTTTAAGACAGTGATACAGAGGATTGGGAGTGCTTTGAACCCCCTGAGGATGATGCTGCCTTTCACTCTCACCCAGCCCACATGTTCCCTTGAACAAACTGGTGCTCAGGAAAGAAAGCAGGAAAATGCAAATAAAACCAAATCATTAATTGCCTCACAATGAATTAATTTTGGTTCCACGAGACATCGCCTCCCTACTTAGGCGTTCTCTTTAAGCAACAACAAACCAATCACAGTCCTCTGGCTGTCATGTATTATGCATTTACAGACACATTTGCTTATCTAATAGGAGTCATATCTTGTCTCAGATTCAGACAGTTTAGAGAATGCCCAAAGGCCCCCGTGTGCTACTTCCTAATCCTCAGATCTGGAGGATGTCATATCAGTCTTGGGAGGGAATAAAAGGACCGGTTCCCCTTGTTTCCCCCTTTCTTTCCATCTTATATACAAAACAGAGAACATTTGTGTGACTAAGTGTTGGAATAATGTGTGTGCATCTTTGGCACAGTCATCATAGAAGATGGGTGCTGCCTGCAGGCTGTACTTTGTGTAATCTAATCCACGGGAAACAGACAGGCCACCATGTTCAGACAATATCATATTCATAAGAGCTTTGACGTATTCTTGTGGGACTGTAGGTGTCCAGTTACTCTAAACTGTGGAATACAATTACTTTGTTACTGGTAATCTAAAAATGGATGGCAGGTTAATCCAAGCAGAGTTATTACTACTCAGCAACTAAGGCTAAATTATGTCAATCTGAAGATTCAGTTAAATCCGGATGAATGATTGCAAAACAAATAAGGGGAAAGGTTTCATGCAGGTGATGTTCCAGAGCAGCAAAAGAGATTTGTGGTATTCTCTTTACGCCAAACCTGCCAACATTTGGGTTATAAAATCTGTGAGATTTTTGCGGCATGTGCCGGGCAGTTTTGGGGTTACCTTGTACGGTGGATATGAACTAATTATGAGAGTATTTGTAATTAAATTGCTCATCCAAATAAGTCTAAGTGAAGCTGCACACTTTTTTGTTTTAACAATAACTAATGGTATAAAAAAATAATAGCTATGATATGCCTCGGACTAATTTATTCCACTAATTTTGGTGTTAAAGTCCTGATATGTTTGACATGCTTTCCCGTATGAGGCTCTCTGAACATCCGCGCAATACAGCACTCTTTTATCTGAGGCTGCCCTGAACGAATCACTCCCAGACGGTGCACGACTACCAACGTAAATATTATATCTCACGTTTGTTTCCCTTTCATTGAAGTGTTCATTTTGCAACAAAGACTGCTTAAATATAGTTTACAGTATCAATCCAGTGTCTGTGAGGCTCAGCAGAAACACAGGACTATCTGCGGTTGTCTGGAAACCTGAAAACAACTTTAGACAAATATAGTGATCCGAATCATGAATGAACGTGGACCATCAAACTACGGAAGATTCCCGGGAGAAATGAAAATACGGGAGGTGGGCGGGAGATGGGTCTGAGATACCGGAGAGTCCTGGGGAAAACGGGAGTGTTGGCGGGTATGGTTTAAGCATGTACATGCTCAGTATAACAGCCTGATTTTGAGTGTGATCTTTTTTTTATGCACCATTTACTATGATACCAAGAAGTATCAAGAACACCTGGACAAGCTAGAGTGTTTCACTAAGTAAAAACCCCGCAACTCATCAAATATCTCCTGCTAAATCAGATTACTTCACCTGAACCATCTCATAAATGTGGATTAAACTCGCTTGTAAAATGGACATCAGCTGTTCTTTCCTCCTCCCAGAGTCGCAGAAGTAAAATAGCAAAGTGCTTCAGCGGCAAATCATCTACCCTCAGGACATGTTCAGAGAGGACTGCACTGGTGGCCTCAACAGGATAGTCAGTTTAATACAGTGTAACGCTCTTGTGTTTGTGTGCCTGTGTGTGTGTGTGAGTGTGTGTCAGTGTGTCATGCTTAATATAAATGGACTGGCTGTAAGATACTGACTTTAATTGACGTGCTTTTGCGTGCTGAAATCCGCTCTGTGAGACCCAGAGCAGGAAAATCAGAGCCAGGGATGCAAATCAGTGGAGCAGCAGGCAGAAAGTGGCATTCATCAATGTTTGATTGGCTCCGTTCTTTCTTAGCAGCAATCTGGCGAACTCCGTACCGCACCCAGAGACTAGGAAGAGGCGAGCACTCTCAGCCAGTGTGAGAGCAGGCAGTCATTAGCATGTCATATTTACTCTAAATCACATGCTAACATTTTTTAAAGAATAAAGACTCTTAAACATTTCCCTATTTCTGCAGGAGCTTGTCATTTGCTCTCTGAGTGAAAGCCCTTTCTTCAATATTTGACATTCAATTAAATATAATAGGGTAAAATGTGCCTGCAGAAGTGCTTGTGGTTATTTCTAACACACCAGTTTCCATCTTCTGCTCTTAAAAGAATGACACCAGACACAATATTTGGCGACATTTTGATACTTGTTGCAGAGCGGATATGTCGCCTTCTGCAAATGATCCAAAAGTTTTTGATTCATCGCTACAAAAACTGAAATTAGACTCCTGACCGGTTATGCTGCTGTAATTTAAATATTTTTTGGATATAGAAGTTCAGGTCGTTGCACACATCAGCCAAGTCAGTCGAGTGATTTTCAATATAACACCTTATCAGCATAACACAAAGTGGAAGTGTAAGCAGTGCTCATGTTTTACATACTGTGTATCTTTTTAAATCTAATCATGCCCTGTGGCAAAGTCAGTGTATTGCATGCAAAAAAGGTGCTTTCAAGCAGAGTGCAGGAGTCCTGAGATTACATTTGAAGGCTTCTTGGGCACTCTGGCTTCATGCTTTTCTAATTATTATGTTAAGCCAGATAAAAGTTACAGCTGCTCACATCTGGTGCAGAACATGTGCTTTGTTTACCCTCAACGGATCCATCCACAGATTCCATAAAAGCTGGGACTCTCTAATAACTTATGTGAACAATTTACCTGGTCTGGAACTGTAACTTTGTATCATTACATCTACCTTTGAGCAAACTCCGTAATAAGAAGCATTAAGTGCACTTTCTGTTGTTTTTATTTTTTTCCTCTTGTCTATGACTAGTTTGTCACATGGATTTTGGGTTTGATCTGTCTCTGTCGGGACTGTTTGTTGTAGTTATTTGTAATACAGAGAATATGATTGTTTCATATGTTAACTGAAAATTAAAAATAAGGTGTTTTAAAAAAAACAACAATATGTGCTATGTTGGTCATGTTGGCAAAAATAGGGCTGATACATCTGTGACATTTTGTGTGACTTCCTGAGCAGATGTTTTGAAGGCCAGGGTTGACTTTGATCTGCTTGCTGTCATTTTTTGAATTCAAAGCTGGAGATCGGAGCAAGGGCCAACTGAGAGTGACAGCCCGAGACAGCTGTCAATCACAGCAGATGCACTTCAGTGGATTTTCCCTACTATTCCATCATACTGAAACAAAAGCTGATATAGCTGTTATCAACGTACAGTGATTGCAAATGAATTGAATGAAATCTAAAAGCTCTACTTTTTTTTTTTCACCTGCATCCGTTCATTTAATCTATAATCGCATGTGACTCGACTTTTCTGTTAATTAGAGAGATGAAGCTCAGAGAACCACCTGCTGAGGGACAAAAAGAGAACAGGAGGTACATTTACATGCTTTTTGAAAACGTGTTTACATTTATTTTTCTTCAGATCTAAATTTAAAAGAGAAAAAGAAAGAAAGCAGCAGACAGGGAGACAGAGAGATGAAAATTTATGATGATTGTGTTTGTGGGACTATCAGTTTGGCTAAATTGAAAGTGACCTAACCCCTGCAGAGACAACAAAGCATTATTGACACTAAATGCAGCACAAGAAGACTGCTGAAAGTCCATTCATCTCTTTTCTGGCCACAGTCCCTCAGACTGGAGTTATTAGCCATTTAGCAGACATTAGCCTGGCCTTCGTTAGCTAATGACCTGCCACGTGCAACTCTGCTGCTGATTCAGCAGAGGCCCGGCCAAAAGTACTGTACATATCGCAACAAGGTGCATTCAAGGGAAATAAACTCCCAGTGCTGGAATAACTGTGAGCTGAAACAATTAAATGTCATTGTCTGGCCCTCTGCTTGCAAAATGGAAAAGTTCACAGCCTGTTTTTTTGCTTATCTAATAACAATCACCTCTCAAGTGCATGACCTTTTCTGAGAACAGGGATCAATACAGCTTGCCATGATGTTGCAAACAAACCAGTGTTTACTTTACCTTAGCGTATCTTTCACTCATTTAAAAAGGTCAGCAGACTCTGTTATACTGATAGACCCAGAACTCTGCCCTTTCCCTTTTAGGATTGATCTAAAGGCTGCTGCAGAATGGACTGTACTCATTCCTGCTATCCATCTTCTGCTCGTGTCATTTTGTATGTAAGCCCATGTGTGTGTGTGGATAAGAGAGTTTGAACAGCCTGTGTGTACTCAGGCCTCTGGTACAGTTCATGTATTGTAACACTCTTCAAAGAGATAGGTCAAAACAGTGTTTTATCATCAAGCAGGCTCGGCTCCTCTTTGAAGGTCTAACCAACGCTCCTCGCAGCCTGGGCCCTCTTTGGGTTTGTGTGCAAAACACTACAGAGGCAGTTGTTGTGGAGGGGAAGCGGCAACGGCGGCAGCTATTGAAGTTTGGGAAGAATGAAGGCTGAGGATTAGGGTGTTCAAACATCGCTGTCGTGTGCAAGCCTTGATACGACTGCACCTGGGAACAGACCGTTCTGCATGGTGGCAGTTTCCCTAAGTACAGGAGCAGAACTGTCGGCGCAACACAGCAGCTTGCAAAGAGAAACAAGAGCAGACACTGACATGTAAAACATGCATTGTGTACAAGTGTGTAAACAATTGAAAAATAGATACAGGAAACCAAGTGAAAATGAGTTAGGGGGGGAGACAAAAACTGGCACCTAAAGCTTTTAGAAACAGAGACAACAAAGATGAGCAGCTTTGCTTTATGAAACTATATTCGTGTTTTTGTTTAGTTTAAAGAGCTGCTTCACTCTGGAAAAAAATGTTTCCAATGAGTGTACAGTTTTATGTCAATTAAAAGGACTAAATGAGAAATTGACTTTGTTTTTATAGCACATTCTCAGTCCTCTGGTCACTTAGAGGGATATTCCAGCGTAAAATTAAGTTAGGGTCAAACACACTGTAACACTGAGTTAAACACCCCCTTGAGAGATGAATGTTGCCGAACACTTGCCTCTCTAGTTCTACCAACTTAGTAACGACTGCATGATAGCAATACACATTGGTCCCAGGAGCCACGTGCTCAACCAAAAAGCCACTCTATAGCCACAAATAATGCTCAGAACAGCACCTAACTTCATCAGCAGTACATATAGGGTCCTAGCCACAGCACTACCCACCAAACATCTATTTAGCTTTGCCTAATTTCTTCAGCAAAGAGACCAAACACAACTCACCTACTCTCTTCCAGCAGCCACTTGTTTGTAGAAAGACCGCCGGGTGAGTCCATCTAATGCAGCGGGGTGATGCAGCTCAAGGAAGAACATTTATGATCACTTCTTCATGGAAATGAAATCAGACCGAGACCTACCGCGTCTGCAGTGCAAAATAAGTAATTTGATGATGATTTCTTTATTACTTTATTTATTTTTTATACATTTATCTTTTATTACTTTATTCTTTTGCATGTGACATCCACCCATATCCATGCACTGATGACAGAGGCTGCTAGCTGCTATGGAGCCCATCAGTTTTTGACTAAAGCCATTCACACACCACTGGGCCAAGCTAGGTGGGGTCCAGTATCTTGCCCAAGGACACTTTGACACATGGACAGTGGGACCTGGGATTGACCTTCTGGGATACTTATTAACATACATACAAATTAATATGTATCATGGATGAGTTGAACCGGACAGACTAGCTGATAGCTCATATTTAACGTTTTAAATGTTTAGATAATTTATATAGTACTTATCCTGCTGTGTTTCTGCAGTTTAAATCATGTATTATGGAATCATCTTTGAAAAGAAACTGGAGTGGGCAGATATAAAAGGCAGAATGCACCTTTATATTTTTCTATATGTCTACACTGAAAGGAATAACTAGCCTTGTTGCCATAAAACTGACCAGTGTAAAGCATCTGCTCCCCAGTTTCTCATTCATTTCATGCAGATTGCTTGTTCACCTCTCACAGACACTTACTTTTTAGTGCATACATTACTTTAGCAGTAGTTTTATGTTTTTTTTTCTCAACATTGACAGAAGTACAGTCACAGTGGATACTGCTGGGTAAAAAAATGACTTTACTGTTTCGGTTTTTAGGGTCTCTGTCAAACTTTGATGATGTTCACAGGGAAATGTAAAACTGTTTGCACATCCTCATAAAAATTACATGAATCACTTCAAAAGTATTCACCTGAGAAGACATCAGAAATGAGAAAGCAGAGAACCACAGGGTTACATGAATGTAATATGGCCTTCAGTATTCATGTATCGACATACTTCAGAGAGGATGTCCTCTGAGATGTAAAAAAAACAAGGTAACACAAGCTCAACTGCTGTGACTAATCTCCAGGAAAGCTTCAACTATTTTTAAGCTTGCAGCATATTCAAGGTGTTAGTGCCAGAGAGGAAAAACTGACTTTCTTAATGTTTACGTTTACTTTGGAGTCTATTTTCTACCTTTAAAAGCTCCTTTTACAAGATGTTTTATGATTTATGTTCCCACAAAAACAAGCAAAAACACTCAGCATGTATTTACTGGATAAACTAATGCTGACACACCAACACACAAGCTAACTGATCTGACTGAGGTTTCCCCATGAGAGTCAATACACCCGCATGTTTAGCCTCTGAGCATAATTGATGAAGTGCTGCTGTACTTGTATTTATGTCAATACCACCAACATCTTTTTTTTCATCCTTTTCTTGCCGGCTGAAAAAAACATAAAGCATACTCCCTTATATGTCTCATTGTCTTTGCATGTCCTCTGCTCCTCACAGAGAGGAAAACACCAATAGGAGAATATTGAGCCAGATAACAGAGTATGACAGTGTTGCCTTAGCGAGGTGTCAGTGACATTACAGAGGATTGCTCCTGAAAGTGGAAAATCCAATCAGACTGTGACTCTCCCTGGAGCTAAAGGCCCACAGACTACAGAATGATTCATTCAAATTCTTTGATCAGAGGGAGTTATCTCCATACTCCTCTGGGACTGAAGACAAAATAAGGAGAAACAGGCCATAAGGAGAGAGACAAGAAGTCGTCTTTCTACCGACATAATGTGGTGCCAGTGTAATGCAGCATAGCACTGAATCATAGCGGTAATACTTCATGAAATTGTCAGGAAATTGGGCTTTATTCTCCCACGTGCTCATTATGACACGTTCAAACAATGTGTATGTGCTCAGCCTCAAAAAATAATACTCTTGTAATAATGTGTGCTGAATATGAATCTGTATCTTTTAGTGAGAAGCATTAGGGATCATGGAAGTTAAAATATTGATAATGAAAAAAATGACTATTTTATCATAAGCAGTAAAAAAATCATTAATTTTGCAGTGCCTTTGCAAATTTAGTAAAATTGAAGAGAATATTTCATCTTTTCAATTCATCTCAGGCCAGCAGTATGCAGCAAACTGGGTGCCAGTAACGGGAGAGCTTTTCGACACGGCTGATACTGGAGAATCAAAAATACATTAGATTGGACAGAAATATTTCACAGAACTGCAGGGGTGACCCGAGACGTTATTATCATCATCATTCATTTAGTTCCACCCTGAAATTGCCCTTGGCTAGCCAGACATGCAGTCCAATCTCCAACCTTTTAAAATCTCTGGCATGTTTATGCCCTTTTTTTTTCCCATTGTGTGAATGGCTGCTGCTCAGGCGGGAGGGCATGTCATTAAAAGATCATGAGCACATGACCAGGGGGCTGTGGGTTTACGGTAAGACACAAAACAAATAGCGTATTCTTTTTATTTTATATTCATTCCCTTCACAGATGCTGATGTTGTGACCCACAAGTCAAGGACAGGGCAATGCTTCCACAGTGGCATCTGTGCATTACACTCAGCCATATGTTATTTTTCTCCTTCTAAAAATAACACATTTGTACTGTATACACAGTGTACTATCATGCTTTATGGACCATTCTGTGGCTTGGCAATAAGATATATTTATTTAAAGCTTCAGATAGGAGGTTTTTAACTGGTAAATAAAACAGACTGAAATGAACAGGGGTGCCCTATATATTGGCTGCAAAGGTATTTCTTTTTAAGTATTTTTTTGGGGCAATTTTGCCTTTTATTGACAGTACAGACTGAAATGTGGGGAGATAGAGAGAGGGAAGAAGACATGCAGCACATGGTCGAGGCCTGACTCGAACCCGACTGTGGTCCCCATACATAAGGGTGACCTTTTACCCGGACATGTCATCTTTTTTGGGGACTGTCCAGGCTGTCCGGCCTTCTCCGGCTTTGTCCAGGGAAGTTTATAAAATCCTTCAAATGTCCAGGGTTTTGTATGGAAGTTTTGAGTTTGTGTCGCGTAGACTTATTGAGTTAGAGGCGCGTAAAAACACTCAATCCGACCTGAAAAACTCTTTTGGGGATTCAGAATATGGTCACTCTACCATACATGGGGCGCGCTAACCCACTTTTCTACGCGCCCCTTGAGGCGCGTAAAAAACACTTGATCTGACCTGCTCAGCCGTGCATCAGCATATCTGTGCAATATTGTTTGTGCTTATGAGGGGACCCAAGCTGAACACATCCATCTTTAGAAACTACAAAAAATTCACAGCAACACCTTCTGGTAACAGGAAGTCACTGCCTTCAAATGACCATTGTTAAATTCTGTTTGGTTTAGTGAGTTTGGGCCAAAAAATCTTTTGGTACAAACCTCTCACTGAATGTAAACACCTGCTATTAAAAAAATAAAATAAAAAAAGACGTTTTTCAGGTTGCCGTCAACTGTCTTGTCTGACCCCTGTAATTTAGAAATGATCAGTTTTGGAGCTGATGATTTGTAGCTCATAAAGAGGCCTCAGAGTTTATTTCAATCTACCTCACAACCAGTTAAAAAGTCCTCATTGGAGTTTAATTCAATAAACATGTTGTGTTTTAAAAATGCATTTCTGATTTGCAAGACTTCTTGTCACCTCTTCATAATAAAAACAAACCAGCGGCGGTGGGAAATGTTCCATGGGCATTAGCATTGTACTGAGACACCCCTCCAGGCATCTAAGACAAAGAGAGCAGATAGTGAGGCTGAAAACACTGATATCACAAGCAGTAACTCTGAGCTGCATGCATGCATTACGGTCTGTGAATTCTAGACAAGTGATTTGAATGCAGATCAGGATTCATAAACTGTACAATTAAGAGTGGCTACAATATTTGCCAGTGAATTTTGAAACATTTAATGGTGATGTAAAAACAAATATGGGCATGAAAAAAAAACTTAGTTTTGTTTGATGAAGAACTTCAGAGGCCTGTTGCATGAGCACCTTAAAAAGGTGACTTCACAGATGTGACTTTATTGATGGGACAGCTGAGGAGCGCCAAGAAATGTGGAGAGTGGATAAGGGGGGTAGGCATCTAGTAAAGGGGTCGTGGCTGAGACTGGCGTCTGCTGTGTTGAGGACTATAGCTTCTGCACATTAGGTGCACGCTTATGCTTACTGGTGCCCTGTGAAAAAACCCTTACCAACAGGGTATCATCATAGTGCTAACTCAGGCTAAAGTGCAGATCATGGTCATCAAGTGATATATAGTGGAGAATACACAGACAACATAAAACAGCGAATAAAATCCTCTTAAATTGACAGCTGGCGTTTAAGCAAGAACATTAATGTGAATTTATGCTGTTGCTTATGAATGCATTGTAAATATCTCATTTGGTGCAACCCTTAAATGCAGTGCAAACTCTAGTCTAAGTTAGAGACTACATTCCAGTTATGGCTATGTTTGAATTTATGCATTGCAGGTGCAACCCGGTGCAGGACTGTAAGGATTTAGAGGCAACCTTCCAGCCAACATTATATCACAGGAAGTCTATGTAAAGAATTCATTTCTTGGTATTTATGTGCTACACATGTGAAAATGTCTTGCCACCACATTTCTATCTGCCTTTATCCATTTACCTGTCACTATAATGAGAAATAACAGTAAGCCATAAAGGTGAGGGCATCAGCTGTTTTATATGTGCTATAGTCGTCTACCGGCCACTGAGCGAGTGGTGACGGTAAATCCTGATCTGCTCCAAACCAGTAATGTGCTTTTTAACTGTTTATCTGTGAAACTGGATTCTTTGTCAGGGTTTATCAAGATAACATCAGTGAAATAGTGTCTGAGCCTTATCTACGGGGGAGAAAAATCAAACAATTAGACTCTGCATTGGCGATAAGAATCTGAAATTACAACTTTCCATTTCCTTAGAGACAAGGAAAAATTGGGGCTGTTTGCACGCAGGAGAAAATTGCCACAATACAATTATTTTGTCAGCAATGACTTGTATATATTTCCTGTGTATTGACCGCATTCTGTGGACCAAAAGGTACATGCTTCTTTTTTTCCTTCCTCTCATTTATTCTCAGGATGGTGCTTCCACCATAAATCTCTGTCAGGCTTTTATTTTGTATCGATCTCAGAAGTTGCTAAGTAGCATGTTGGGGCTGGGACCATTTTAGCTGCTGAGGAGACAAATGAATGGAATTGATTTGGTGGATTAGAATTAGGCATTTATCTTTGGTGGCCATTGTGCATTACGTGCAGTTTTCAGTTTCTTCCCCTGTGTTACCTTTTTCAGCAGGGGTGGCCTTTGACTGAACAACATTGAGTGTGACACAGAAGAGCAAATATTGAAAGCTCTCTCTATTAACAATATAGAAAATCAAAACCTCAGTCTGGAGGGGAATTTGGACTCATTTGTCTATGTATTTATGTTTTTATTTTTATTTTTGCTTTTATTCCTCAACAGTATAGTGTTGATGATTTATTTTCATTGTGATATGTTTGAGGTTGTTTGGAGATTTGGCTTTCCTCTCCTCTCCAGATACTTGCCTCATTTGTCTCTTGTTTGGTTTGGCTGCACTGATAACACAGACCCAGCTTATCAGAGCTTGTTTTTTTTTTTAAATTGCTGCCTGCCTCTTGTGGAAATTGTCTTGATGAGAACACTGTGACCCAACCATACAGTCAAAGCAAAACAATGAGTTTAAAACGGCAAAAAGCTTCAGTGATATTTATGCATGTTTATCGCTGGGAGCAACTCTGCTCATAGACTTTTGATTCAATTTTAATGCAAAATACATTGATTCATTAAGCTTTAAATCAAAAACTGAACAAAATAATTTGTTCATCCCGCTTCCCTTGTGGCCATTGCACTACGAGCAATATTGTATATATTTGTCAGCCTCCACATTACCTAATGAGGGATTTATTAAATTCTCTCTTTTTTCTGCTGTTGAATTTAGTTCATACAGCTAAATGGAAATACTCTTCAGCTGAGCCAGCAGACCACCCATCCTGGCCCCCAGTGATTTTATGACAGCTTCCTCCCCCCCAAACTTCCGAGCAGTTGCACCCCGAGGTGACAGGCACGTCACCATTATTTACCCTCATGCTTCCACTCGCAGAATCAGCAACTGGCTCAAAGGTCAGCAGGCCGCGTCTGTCTGCGTCTCAGCCACCAGGCACTCACTCTTTTCTCAGATCGCCCGCGCCTCACGGACACTCCAGGGAAATGCGATATCCCCACAGCTGCAGCTACCAGAAACAACAAGTACAGAGTGTGTGCAGTCCCATGGCACAGTCATGGCAATGACAAATAGATCTAATTAAATAACAATTCATACTAACGTGATCTTTGCTCTCTGGATCCCCTGATCTGCTGCTTAACTCTATCCTTTGGAGAATTAACCTACATGGCTTATTAAGTAACAGTAACTCAGTGAATGCAGACGGTAAAGCAAGGCCCTGTTTCTACGAGGATGTTTTTGTGCTGAAAGAATTTAAAACTCTTTTTTTTTCATAAAGCAATTAATCTCCAGCATATTACTTAAAGTATTAATATTAGGGTGGTGTTTACTGTGATTAAAAAGAGAAGACAGCCATGTTTTCTGAGAATTTTACATATTGTGTTAACCATTTGCTGAATCCAGTCCTGATCAAAATCTTACACAGTGGTGTTGTCTTCTCCGTCTATATAAATCTTACAATGAAGATAAAAATGTGAAGAATATATTAAACATTTTTGTAAGTTTTTCTCATTGACTGGATATACTATGGACAACTTGGTTCCACCTTCCGCCAGTATACCGGTTTGAAGCCAAAAAGCTCTTGTTATTTCCGCAATTTTTCTCCATTTCCTGAAACCAACATTGCGCAGTAGCATTGTACGCATTCGGTGGGAGAGTTGCCGGGAGTTGTTGTGGTGACAAACAATGTTTGAACAGCTGTACGAAGCTGTACAGAAAAAAGAGGACTTGAGTATAAACCAGTCTTACAATAACTACATTTCAACATCGCAAGAAGGGGGGAGAAAAATGTATATTCTGTGTAATTAATTTCTAAAGTTTGTCCACAGCCCCATAAGCTTTGCTGGAGGAGGCGGGATTTATGACCTATACTGCAGCCTGTCACCAGGGGGTGCTGTTCTCGGGTAGCTTCACCCAGCAAGGAGGCAGACGGCGTCCATTCTATATACAGTCTATAGTTTTTCTTCTGTATCAGCAACAATTATTTGCAGCTAACTGACAACCTTTGGCTACAACCTCACAGAAAGGTAGAGTTAGCATATCGCTATTGTATTGCTAATTGTGTCTTTGGGTTTAAATGTTTTGGGAGAAAAGTGAGTGATTCACTCAGGAATCTGTGTTTTCTGGTTCCTGTACTCTCACACGAACAGTTTGTTGGTGCAAACACACATAATTTGCCCACACATAACAAAGCCTCAATCCTGTAGCATAACAAAAAGTAGCTAGCATATTCAAACTAATTTTAGTCTGCTTTTAATTAGATCATTTTGACGTGGTTATTTTATTAGTCCCAAATAATAGAATTAGCAGTGAAGCTAGCCAAGGCTGGCAAAAATCTGCTCACTATGGTAATCCTGCAAAATGATGCCAGCGATACAAAGCCTATTTTTCCACCTTTGTTGAATTTAAAGAGCCATGTTACCCGCATTTGTGCTAATTTCCATAAAGAAAATTGAGATGATAACCATTCACCATCAGCCCTCTTTCTATGACAAAGATGAGACAATGCAAGCTAAATACTCTACATATGATAAAATTTAGATAAATTGAATGAGATGTTTCTTTGTAATGATTAACTTAAAATCATTAACTGTCTGTTCATTATTATTACTATTACTATTAATAATAATAATAATAATAATAATAATAATAATAATGTCATTTTCCAGACTGACTGACAAAAGAGATTTACTGGCACCATCACTTATGTTGTAGAGAAATAAGCATCTTCTGTGTAACTCCTGGTTCTAAGATATAAAATATATTATTAACACAATTTTTTAAAGCAGTATTTTAATTTTTTTTAGATTTCTATTTATTCTTCTTGGTCACAGAATGAGAACTTATTTACTTTACTAAAAATGTGAAATTAGGTTTTGGGGATTAAAGGATAGAAATGGTTAAAGAGATTCACAAAAATATGTATAAAGCAGTCTGGTTTAGTTTGGGCTGTTTTTGCAACAAGTCTTCAAAGCAAAGCAGTAAAAAAAAAAAAGATTTGAGTCAATTATAGTAGAAATATCAGGTTTTCCCACTTAGAGAGTGTTATTGCTTTCTAAAGAAGGTTACATTCTGCTCACATCCATCACCTACATGCCTGGAGGGAGTGTGAAACCACAAGACAGCTGCTCAGTACATGTGTGATGTCTTCATTGTATGTGTGTGGACCAGTCACAGGCTGGACAGTGTCATGACATGGATGCTGAAAGCTATAGGAGAGAAAATGGAGCTCTGGCCATCAATAACGCCTGCATAAAAACTGTATCACACTATAGTATAGGGGCTGGAATGTGACACTCCATTGCACTTGATTACAGCTGTACCAGTGCTCCCCTACATGTGTACGTGATCAGTGTAATCTGGTATATCCCACAGTTATATGATTAACAACACAAGACACAGAGCTTCTCGCCCGGTTCCAAATCTGGCCTGTGCCTTTGGCCGAATGTTTTACAACTCAGCCCAGTGGAAGGCAGACACACAACATTAGCTCTGCTGTGTTATGCTTGAAGGCAGGTGACTATTTTTTCAGAGTAAAAGTTTGTTAGTGGTGGCAGAGGAGGAACACTGCTTCCAAATCTTTGCAGCCAGACTCACTTTCAACAGCCAAATGCACAGCAAGGACAGCGTATCGATCCAAACTTCATGCTAAGTATGCATGAGCAGTCCCTGTCGGATGAGCAGACGGTACGGGACTTTGTTTTGAAATACTGTGACCATGAACATGGAAAGGAGGAAACACTGCACATCTCTGCCAAGGGGGAACCGACATTATAATTCATTACTGCCATGAGTTTTTTTCTTTTGTTCCAGGTTTGCATACAAATTATTCTAAAAGATCAAGAGACAGTAGTGCAAGAAGCAGATCCAACATAAAGACAATGTTTAAGCCTAAACATATTGATTTAAAAAGCCAGAAACATGAACTCTTACTGTTTATAAGGGCTCTGCCAAAGGAGACGGTCCAAGAGAAAACACGACCTAAATTTAAAAGGGACTATTTTTAGCTGCAGATCAATACAAACTGAGTACATCAGGAGGTTGCATATGGCACTGAGTCGACGAAACTGCGTGTTTTTATGCTTTTGGAGCATTTAAGCATGTGGATTTTAGACAATAGAGGACATGTATGTCACATAAAATGAACTGGCATTTTCAGTGTCACACTTCTCTACACATATAATCATGTCACCATGATCCATGTACTATCACTCTAACTTTTTAAAGAAATAAAATGACTCTTTAGCGTTAACAACATAAAAAGCCTCATGAAGTGAAGAAACGGGACTGTCCAGAGTTTAGTTGAGTGGGAGGCACACATACTAAATGGTTAAACCTTTCACCTAAGGTACAAATTATTTTTAGTTCATCCAACAGTGGAGCATCAAGGTGTCAGATGTTGTGTATGTTCCAGTGATAAATATCTAGTGAGTCCTGGTGCCAGTCGAGCCATGGAGATCACAGCATCACAGCTGTGAGGCACAACATCAAAGGACAGTCCTAACGTGTGAGCTGATGTTGACAGTTTTCAGCTTGATGTCTAATTCAATCCCTGAACTCACCGGCTGCCAGGAAACATCCAGAATTAGCAGTTGTTTAAACATTTACTTTCAGAGCTGAATGACTGGAAAGAAAGTCACTAAGGCAATAAAAGTATTAGGTGGAAGTAGGGGAGAGTGGGAATGGTCGTAACACTTTTAGCGTCAGTATCTAATGCTGCGTTCGAGTTACCTCGGAAGTCAGATGTCCGAGCTGGGAATGACGTCACAGATGAGTAACCAGCGTTTCAGTAACCAAGTCGGAAAAAAGCAAAATCGGAGGCGGAAACAAGATGGATACATCTACGATTTTAGCGTTTCTTATTTTAGTTATTTAAAGTATTTTAGCATCCCCTTTCCTAGATGTAGCCATCTTTTTTCTGCCTCTGATTTAGTTTATTTCCGACTTTGTAACTGAAACGCTGTGACGTCATTCCCAGCTCGGACACCTGACTTCCGAGGTAACGTAAAGTATCACATTTGTTTACCACAAAAAAAAACCTTCTCAGTCCTCTGAAAAAATATCATAAACCTCATGAGCTGGTGTCAAAAACAGGGTGTTCGTTTGATATGTAGCATAGGTTGTAACACATGCAAATAAGTTGCAAAGACAGAGACTACATCATGTAGATAGGAGAAAATGGTGGCATTTCATTTCTCCCCATGATACAACCATCCCTGGTCTCCACTACACAGCCATTTTTTTTTATCAAACAGAATAAATATTTTATTTAAACACCAACTTTCATTACCACTATCCGGAAATAACTAATCTTCTCTGATGAACTAGCTATTTTAGACAGAAGCATGTATGCCATCTCCAACTGAAGCCATTACACACAGATCTCCCTTCCATCACTCAAAAAAACTACATCTTGGAAAATGTGGGTGTAAATGATGAAGCATTCAGCCATACTTTATGATACAGTTTGGAGGCATATAACATGTGCCTTGCACACACACACACCCACACACACGCAGTGAAACAAAAAAGATCCAGGGGCAGTCATGTCACTGGCAGATAGCAGCTGGCTTGGCTTGTCAGCATGTGAAAGCAAAAGAGGGTGGAAAACAATGCGAGGGCATAGCTGGTGACCTCTCTGCATCTGCACCTCCGATGGACCATTAACCACTCAGCATCCACACTGTACTAGTTAGTGTGAGGCATTACAGGAAACCACACAGACCTACGCTCGCATTTACTGAAGAGTTTGTTTAAAAACGATGTGCGAACACGCTCTGGGGATGTCTACATTAGAGTTATCAGTCATCCTTTAAAAGCGTCTTGTGGTGTGTTTTTACTGAAACATCACCTCTGATACGAGCAAAATTTGACTTGAGTTGATTTTAAAAATACACAGATATGGGTGAATTTATCTTGTCAAAAATAACGAGTTTAAAAAGATTTGTGCGACCCCCTCAATCACAGCAGGTAGGCTGTTTCCTTGTAAACAAATCCCGCCCACGTTTATTTGGTATATGTTTTTTGTTATAATAACCACAAAGCTCTGCTCTGCATGGTGAGACACACATCCTCAGAGACCTCTCTTCATTCTGTCTGTAAGCTTACTAAGTCGCATAATCACTTGGTTGCCTCTGAAGAAGAGAGAGAAAGTTTGTTGAGGTAACAGCGATACACACCAATGACACAAACAGCTCACCGTCCCTGTTGTTTTAAACATGACTCGGTGTCTGCAAAGGCACCGAAAGTGATGCACATCTCTCACTGAGGATTACTGCAGCCGTCCAACCATCCCTCAACCAAATGTCCATCTGTCTGTCAATCCATCCATCATTAGTCACACATCCTCTTATTTATTTGTGCAATCAGTATCTATCAGTGTGTCAGTCACCTTGTTATCGATATATCCTACAATCAATCCACCGAAAAACAATAATCAATACATTCATCAGTCCCCAGTCATCATGAGATGGATCCATACACAGATCTCTATGTCCATCTCTGTATTCATCCAACCGTTTCTTATTCTATCTATCCATACTTCCAACCAGTACAAATCTGTCTGCTGTCAATCCATCTATCCATCCATATTTTTATAGAACTTTTCACTCTTTCCTGTACCTTTTTGACCGTCCATCTATCCTCCACCCTGTCATCTATAACCTTCATTTATATATTCATTATAGATCACGATCATTTACTCGTCTATTGACTCTGACAGCCACTTGTTTATCAGCTTTTTGTCCTTTAATCAGTTTATCAGTCAAGTCATCTATCCTCTTACCCATCTGTCAATTTGTTATGCCATCCATTCTTTCTTTCAGTCATCTACCATTCCTGACATCAGTGCTTCTATTGATTACAGATAAATCTATTCATTTGGTTGGTTTATTTACCCCTTCTACTCTGTCAATTTATCCATCACATGTCATTTATTTATTTGCTTTCTCATTCATTCATCTCATCTCATCCATCCATTGTCCTTCTTAAATGAATGTATACATCACTTAACTGTTTTATCCATCTTTTTTATCTTCTCATTTATCTACCCACCTACTGTATCTCTTTATTCATGAAACCATCCACTCATCCATCTTGTTGATATTGTCCATCAATCCATCCCATCGATTTCAGTCATCTGAATAATCATCTTAAAAATCCATCTATTCATGAACTCCTTCATCTCCTCAGGTGTCTTAAATGACCCATTGCTGACATGTTTTAATTATGTAATCCATCCATCTGTCCAACTATCCATCATTAAATTCGTTAATCCATTCTGCGCCTACTTTGCACCCACCTGTCTATCTGTTTGTGCAATTATATCTATATTCATGCCTTCCACAACCCATATTAAAAGCAATCCTCTCATGTGATCATTCAGTTGTCCTCCAAATGATCAGTCCAACCAGTCATCCAGATTTCAGTTTGTTCAGTCACCCATACACATCCATCTGCATCCAGTCTTCTATAGGTCAGTCCATTCCTTTATAATGTCATCCATTCACCGCTCAAGACATCCATCTTTTGGTTGTCATTACTTCTTTATATCCATAGAGCTGACCACTTAAAGGTCACTGAAGTTGGATGCCTTTCCTTGTAAACCAAGCAAAGTAGCAATAACCAAAATCATAAAAGTTCAAATTCATCACTGGGTTGTAGAGATAATTGAAGTTCCTCACTTACACCTCACACCAGGGTACATGGACCAGAGTTTTTTTTCCATTAGCAGACTGGTCATTGTAGACTTGCAAACAGTACAGTTGAATAAATTGAATTATTGAAACCCTAATATATTATATAGAATTCGACTTATAACTAGTGTCCATAAATGTTAGGTCTGTGTTTTGGTGTGTTTTACAAATACTGTTTCTCATGCAATTTTTTCATTATTATTCATTCATGATCGTTTTTTTCTAAGATAATGTTATTATCAGATAGACCCATGAACTTTTCTAAAAAAAAATGAATACCCTTCTCCAATAAAAGGGAAGTTACAATTATCTGTGCTTTGCTTCACTTTGACAGATATATAGGCAAAGCTATAATTTGTGAGGCTCCCCAGGGCTTACTCCTTGAGCCTCATTGATTTATCAGTAAGATACCCTCATCACTATTTTTTTTTCTACTAATAAGATGCACAAATTTAGGTTTGGTGTACCTATAGTTTCTTCTTAAGACGGCTAAACAAAAGCAAGGTAATGATTTTAATTATTTCTAAAGCTAATAAAAAAACAAAGCCCAATACACCAGTCTTTAAAACCTTGCTTGGGAATGTCTTCAGGCATAACCAGAGAAAAGTTGTTGTTTCTTGTAAACTAAAATAGTGAAAAAACAAAAAAACCTTTTCCTCATGACTCCCTCAAGAAAATCTCTGGCAACTTTTGCACCTATTTGGATCTTAACAAAGACGGAGAAGCAGAGCACATCCCAGCCTCTCTCTACGGGCCTCCCATCTCTGAATCTCTTAATGATGTGGTACAAAGTAAATGTCCTGGTGCAGCTTGGTGCAGCTCAGGTATTAAAAGGCAACAGCCTGGAGTTCCATTAAAAAATGGACGAGTTTGTTTTGCAGCACTTGGAAACCACTTCTGAAACATTTAAGACTAAAGCTCCTTTTTTGTCTCTTAAAGATAACAACCCTTCTTGGCTTTCAAACTGCCTCTGGGAAAAGCTTAAGAACTACATCCCAGCTTATCTTGATACATTTCTTAATCAAATCTCGAAATACATTATTTATCACAGCAAGCATAGTGTGATACGAGACTGAAAGAAAGGATATACAGTACGTGTTAATTTATTCTCAGGAATAAGTACAAAAATCTGTGAGCTCTTGCTTTGGAACTTGATCTGTTTACGTTTAACATATTGTGCTGAAATTCCCACAAGATACCAGATGTATTCTGTGCACAAGGACTACATCATATATTTTTCCAGCTTCACTGAATTGCTGCAGTAAAATCTGTGGAGTTGTAATGAAATATGGTCTCTATGGTCACAGGCTTTTGGCCATTTACCAGTACATATATATATATATATATATATATATATGCAGAATGAGAGGAGACTGTATTACCTTGCTCATTCTGGCTTGTAGGAACAGATTTGTGGTCAGCAGCCTCTGAGCCGAGTCCAGGAACAGCATGCTGTTTCACCTGCACGGTCAGCCATACGCTACAGGGCTGCAGGGAAATAAGAGAGAACACATATAAAGTGCCATTTCAGACGGAGTGCAGATGATTTAAATGAATGCAATTCCTGGAAAATTGATCAATTTATTTTCCTTCTCCAAATTAAAAAGGAAAGCTATAAAATTGATAATTGAGTACTCCTCAAATCACATCTATAGAATACAATAGGCTGTCACAAAGGGCAGATCATACAGCACACTGAGTTAACTCACAGCTGAAAATAGACTAGTCATTCACTTCTCTATGGTCTGAACTGGCTGAGCTTGTGCTCCAAACAAAGGCTTGTTTCTCCTCAAATAATGAAGTCTCTTTCTGCAGGGGAGGTGTGTGTGCGTGCGAGTGTGTGTTTATATATATGCCTTTCTATGTGCATTGTGTGGACTGCCCAGCTGCTGAGTTATGTAAGGCGGAGGGGGGGTGCAGGGTGTAAACACATTTCCATGGTCAGAAAGATGTCAATCCTTCTCTTTTCTCACCTCACCTTCACAGCTCATTTATTCCTTCTACACAAATGAAATAATCGTACAAGTCACCCAGAAGAAAAGCCTCAGAGTTTTTCTCTCCTCTGATAAGAATCAGGCCTCACCTTTCGGGCAGGGACGTTTGGAGAAGGTGAGGAAATTACTCACTGAGGCAGGAAGCTTTTATCAGCCTCACAATGAAATCTATTCACTGGTTGATACAGAACCTCAACACTGCCATAAATTCCAGGTGTGTTGTGTAACCTTTTTGATTTACATGTCAAGTCATGCTCACAAACAAGCACCTATCCCTGGTCAGTCAAAGTTACTCAGTAACTAAGAAGGAGGGGTGAATGATATATGATACTGCTACAGCAGGCATGCTCTGATTAATGACTCTGAATGAGCAGTATGCTTTGTTTGTACGGCAGCAACTACAGCTGTTTCGACACCACAGGGAGGGTTTAAGCTTTATCAGGCATTTTTTAATTTACAAATACACACTGAAGGAAACTAAACCACCAACTGTGGGTTAAATAGCAGAAAACAGTCGCTTAAAATCCATTTAGATTCAACTTCTCTGACCAAATGATTATTAAGATGTTGTGCATGTATAGTGGGCACATATCAATGTCTGCAGTTCCATCGATTAAACTTCAAAATTTGATATCTTATGCAAGTTTATAAGTTGTTAAATTTATGGATCAGAACAGTAGGACACAGAGATTGATGCTGTTTTTAAACAAAGGGAGAATGAAACAGTGGATTTGTTCATAAACTGGAGACTACGGTCAATGGGTTGTTCAACATCTAGTAATATTAAAAAAAAATTTAAAGTTGATTTTGTTTTACTATGAGGAGCTATCCATCTTCATCATATACAAACAGCAATATGTTGTTGAGAATACACAGAGAAAGCACTTAAAGGTCGGGTTGGCAGGATTTCACTAAAGAAGCATCTTTTTTGTGGTGAATATATAAAAAAGCTTTTAATATCAGTTAATAGCTATCAGTTATTGATGACATTTGGGAATACCACTTTTCCCTATCAGAGATGATTGAGGCATCCCAGCTCCAAGCTGCTCCCACATCTGTGTTGGCTAACTTTTGATATTACCCCACTCCAAAAAAACGACTGTTTTTGCCACAGTGTCAACAGGCAGCGATTAGATGTGACAGACCACATTGTCTCTGGTTTCTTTGTTGCTGTTGAGGATTAATCACCATTGCTGTTTGACCAATGAGAATCAAGTATTTGACACAGCCAGGTAAAAGAAATCCAGTAAGAGTCTTCAATGATACTGAAAGTGGTTCCAATCTCTCTGTGTCATATTATACTGCCATATTATACTCCTCTATTATTGTGTCCAGTTCCAGTGTGAAGCTCACATTGCCACCCTGCACAACCACTTTACTGGCTTTTAAGTAACAAACCAGACTTTTACGTACAAACACACTGTACATAAATTCGAGAAAAGGTGCTTGAAAAATGCACACCAGAGAAACTCGAGTTTGAAGTGCACTCTTCCCTCACCCAGGTTAAGAAGTCAGGTTGGTTAAATAGGAAAACATTTTGAGCGACTCTGTTAATAAAGGTTTTATCTGGTACATTAGACCCTGAAGTGCTTCCATTAACGGTGACGTAGTTATTCACTCCCTGTTACAACATTCACTTATTATAATAAAGGGCATAAAAAGGTGTTTTAGCAGTTAAAAAAGACTGGTTATCTTTTATCTGCAGACTGAACCCTTAACATGGAGTGAAAAAAAAAGGTTATTTATGAACTTCACTGTGTAAACAAAACAGCCACAGGCCAGTGAAGAAAATGGTCAGTGTTGTAATTTATCCAAGTCGGAACCGGTGAACCAGACTCCAGCATGTGTGGATATTTAAGAGTTACCGCACTCCATCTCTGTCCGTTCTGAGTGCCGCACACAGCCCACTCCGTCTGTCATCCTGAGCACACAGATTTATCTCTGACAAATAAATCGGGAACTTGAACTATAGACTCTGACTCAGTCATGACTTGTAGCCTGCCTTCCCCACTCGTCGGCCACCAATTGGCCTATCCGTCAATCAATTGGCCCCATGATTTTCATGTGCTTCGGATTATGTATCGTTTATCATCACAGCCCATCCAACCCCTGCAGCTGTCTATCATTTAACATAATCATCTCCCGCTCTCTCTCTCTCCCCCCTGAGGAAGTTTGGCTGCCTCCCTCCCAATTCCGACTCCCACTTGGATCATTTTTTTCCTGTCAGAGTCAAACTATAAAGTACTGCTCCCCTCCCCCTCCTGTTCCCCTTTCACTTTCTCCCTGTCTTTGCCTTATCTTCCCTCCCTTGCTCCCTCGCCTAGATTTAAAACCTAATGAGTCCTTTAAATTTCACCCTCTGCCTTCAGTAATATTTAGGGCTGCTGTGGCTACCA